CCTCCCCCAAACCCTTGCTGTCTTTATCAAGAGGAACAGCTGAAGAGTGTATGGTTGTGTGCGGAGATGAGAGGAGAGAAGAGATGTGACAAACTTTGCTGATGTAGAATCTATACATTATGATGTTGTAGTACATACATACAACTTTGCTGATGTATACATTATGATGTGGTAATGATACGTACGTACGTACCTTACCGCCTGTGTGGATTAAGGCTGGTTACAGTTTTGCTTTTGTTTAGGAGAGAGAGGCGGTAGTTTGTGCATGTGTGTGTATATAGTATTGTGTGTGTGTGCGTGTGTGTGTACAATACAAGTATGTACCTCCTGTGTGAATTGAGGCTGGTTACATTTTTGCTTTGGTTTAGGAGAGAGAGGTGGTGGTGGTAGTTTGTGAGTGTGTGTGTATAGCAGTGAGTGTTTGTGTGTGTGCGTGAACAATACATGTACCGTACTGCCTGTGGATTATAAGTAAGGCTGGTTACATTTTTGCTTTTGTTTAGGAGAGAGAGGTGGTAGTTTGTGAGTGTGTGTGTGTGTGTACAGTAGTGTGTGTGTGTATGTGTGCGTGTGTATAGTAGCGTGTGTGCCTGTGTGTGTGTGTGCATGCATGTGTGTACAGTAGTGTGTGTGTGTGTGTGTACAATACATGTACCGTACCGCCTGTGGATTGAGGCTGGCTACATTTTTGCTTTTGTTAAGGAGAGAGAGGTGGTAGTTTGTGTGTGTGTGTTTGGGTGTCTAATAGTGTGTGTGTGTGTATAGTTGTGTGTGGGTAGTGTGTGTGTGTGTGTGTGTTTCGTGCATAAAACACCTCTGTGTGTGTGAGCGTGTGTATACATGTTTGTTTGTGTGTGTGTATTTCATGCATATGATAAAACACCTCTGCGTGTATGTGTGTGAGCGTGTATACATGTTTGTTTGTGTGTGTGTGTGTACAAGTTAAAGAGAATGTTATTATATATATACATTCCCTGCCTTCTCCTTGTGTAATCATGAGCGTGTGAGTGTGTGTGCGCGTATATATGATGTGTGTGTGTGTGTGTGTGTATGATGTGTGTGTAGCTAGATACAGGACAAATGCATTTATATAAAATTCTATCATCGTGAAGTGCTACTACTGTTGTGTCTATATTTAGCCTGTGACCTTGAAGCGGTCTCCTGGCGGTGTAGAGGGGACTTTGAGCCGCTGCTGTACTGTTGTTGTGTCTATATTTAGCCCGTGACCTTGAAGCGGTCTCCTGGCGGTGTAGAGGGGACTTTGAGCCGCTGCTGTACTGTTGTTGTGTCTATATTTAGCCCGTGACCTTGAAGCGGTCTCCTGGCGGTGTAGAGGGGACTTTGAGCCG